TAAGTTCTAAATTTTTAATTTGTTTTCAATCCCAACTATTTGCCTATTTTTAATTAAGTAAAATCGACAAAAAAAGAAAAAGAAAAGAGTATTCCAACCATTAAACTCAGTAAAAATGAATATTTTAAACATTATAAGTAGGGCTGCAAACGAGCCGAGCTTTAATATATTTGGGCTTATTTATTAAGATTTTAATGAATTCGAACTTGAACTCAATAAAATTTGACAAACCGAGCTCGAGCCTATTCACGAGTCTTTACGAACCGAAAAATTTATAAATTTATACTTACGTATGAGACTAAAGTTATAATTAAAATTTTGAGTATACAATTATATATACAATATATATAAACATTCTATAAAAAAAAAAAAGTCTATATTTTATCAAAATAATATTATCTACTACCACTATTATATAAATGTACTATCTATAGTTAACTATTATTTACATTTATATTTTTTTTATGTATAAATAACATATTTATCTTATTTTATTATATATTTTTACATTATTTAATATATAAATAATAAATATTAAACGAGATAGAACCGAGCTTATGAGCCAAACTTTATAAGGTTTGACCTTATTTATTAAAAATTTAACGAGCTCGAATGTAAAAAAAAAATAATAAAATTAATGAACCGAGTTCGAACAAGGTCTTACCAAGCCAAGTTCAGGTCTCTTTACGAACAGTTCTGTTTATTTGCAGCCCTAATAGACCGAAAAAGAGGAAAGAGTACAAATTTATTTTAATAATATATATCGTTTCTCAAGAATCAATTCTATTTTTTGAAAAACTAAAAGAAAAAAGGAAAAATTACTATGTAGTCCTATGTAGGAGATCTATTTCCCTTCTAATCTCAATATATTTTCAATAGATTAATAGGTCCACAGTTTTTTAAGTTTTGTACCCAAAGGTCCCGTTTTTTATTTTCGTATTTTGTAAATGATTGTATTACCCTTTGTTTTGAGATGTATATATACGTGAAAAATCAAATATTTGCTCTGTTCAAAAAAGAAAATCAAATCTTCGCCTCTGCAATCTCGATTTCTCTTCGTTATGGCGATCTCATTGTGCTGTAAGGTGGATCTGGTTGCGTAATCTGAATCTCTGTGTACAGGCGATCTCTGCGTACGTTCTCTCTCTCTCTCTCTCTCTCTCTCTCTGTGTATCTGGTTTGTATTTGTTGATACATATATGTATGCGTATATATATATCTGTGTGTGTATGTGGTTTGTATCTGTCGATACATATATGTATGTATATATAGATAAGCATATTTGCGTGATATCTGGTTTGTGTTTGGCAATGTTGTTTTAGTTCTTTGTTTTGTGATAAATTTTGTTTGTTTGATACTTATTAATTAATTATAAATTCTTAATTATTTATTGTAATTCTTAATTTTTTTTCTAATTTTAATTTAATTATATTTTGGATCACAATTAATCCTAAATTCTTAATTATTTATTATAACTTCTAACATGTTAATCTAATTTTAATTTAATCACATTTTAGATCAATTCTTAATTATTGTTTATTTTATATTTTATTCAATTGTATTTTAGATTAATTCTTAATTATATTTTGTTTAACATATTAATCTAATTTAAATTTGGAGAAAATAGGGGCAAAATTGTCATTTTGTTGTATTAATTTCATTCTAATTTTTCATATAGCAAAACCCATTTGAAAAAAATAGTGTGTATAAAATACCTTCCGTTAATTTGAAAGAAAAAATTAACGATAATATTTTAATCCAAAATCACATACGGATTGCCACACTATATTTGAATGAGGCCAAGTTTGGCATCTACTAAATAATACAAAAAGTTACTATCCTATTTAAGTCACATCATCTTATTTAAATCACATCATCTCTCTAATACATCATATCAAACCCAACTCAAATCTAACTTATGTAAGTTAATAAATCAAAAAGTATAATTTTTTAGAACATTCCAAACCAATCCTCATAATGGATAAAGCATTCCATCCTCATAATATAAGGGAGTAAAATGATATTTTTAATGTACAATTTTATAATAATATGAAAATAAAAACAAAACTCCACTTTTTGTTGCAAAATCAACCCATATGTCTGCATGTGTGCCTGGAAGAGTGTAAAAAAACAACAGGATATCTCCAAATCTGTCCACCTGACTTCACGTGGGAAGCACGTGAGATAGTGGGGACATTGACACCGTGTCAACATGCACTTCTTCTTGTTGACTTTGTCAATCTACACATATGTGTACTAACTTATCCTGCGTACCCAAGATTCCCTGGTGGGGGGAGAGAGACAGAGAGATAGTAAAGTAGGAAAAGCCTATACAACCTAACAATAGATTCTCAACCTTTTAACAGGAACACACCCCTTGGGCATCCCTTGTATCCTATTTTTTAACCAAAGGGGACCCATATCTGCATTCTATACCAAAATTGTATCCAATTTTTTAACCAAAGGGGACCCACAATATCTGTATTCTATACCAAAAGGCCAACATGCATAAGTATGTAAATACAAAAATGGTAATAGCACAAAATTAAGTGTTCATTTGAAAAGTGTTAAATTGGTATATTTTTTAATTTTTTTATAAATAATCGTGAAATATGAGTTAAATTTAAAATGATGTGATAAAAAGATGATTTGACTCAAATAAAATAATTATGACTTAAATAAAATAATGTGTTAAAATAAGATGTGTTATATTAGCACATGCCAGGCAAAGTCTAAAACTCATAAAATATATATTATGTGATTGAAATTTATTTGAATTAAGTATTATGTAGGTTATTAGTAAATTGAATTTAAATCATAGTACACCTTTTATTAATAAAAAACAAAAGTAGGATAAATTACTGATCATTTTTGACATTTGGAGAGAATATAATAAGTCATATAAATTTTGAATAATTGCATCTGATTTTTTTATAATTTTAATTTATATAACATTTAATTTAGTTTTCATTAGAAATTTGTTAGTCATATGAATAAAAAAATAATATCATCTTTTTTTTTATATTGAAATTAATATTTTACCTTGTACATGTTTGTGCCTTCATATCATCTTCATCAGTTATAGTTTCTTTAACTATACTAAAAAGGAAGTTAGTGTAACTATATAAAATCTGTAGAACTTATTGTATTTTTTTAAAATCTTGAAGAAGATCAATATAATTTATTAGGGGTATTCAGCAAATATTTTAATCTATCCAAAACTGACCAAACCGAAACGATCCGCTGCATTGTGGACGAATGCATGATGACGAGCGGACAGTTGTGGATTATTTTTTTTTCCAATCCACATAGTTTTGGACGGATGACGGATTTGAGATTCTTTTGGTCGCAACCGAATTGCCAAACCGCAAGTACCTCTAGTAATTTGTAAGACTTTGTATGTTCAATTTGTTTAGATATTTTGTTTATCTTTTCAATTGAAAAAGAGTTTAGATATTCTGTTATGTTTTTAATTTGAAAATCCTTTTATCAAACAGTAAGTGTTGATATTTGGTATTTTTGTATAGAAAATATAAGACTTAATTTTGTCCTTTTTTTAAAAATCAAATTAAATAGTTTTTGAATAATAAAAAAAAGTAATGAAATAGTTTTGATAAAGCATGGTTTTCTTATATGTATTTATTATTGATATTTGACAATTTATTTGATAATTTTTTAGTTATGTTGAGTTGGATTGTTAACCAAAAAAAATAAATGTTGATAAGTTGTTATATTATGTTCAAAATTTGTAAAAGTTTAAACCACCAAACCAATTTGCATCCATTCGCTAATCCGTATCCGCCGATCCGGCGAACGGATACGAATTGATTTTTTCTAATCCTCCAATCTAACGGACAGATGACGGAATGAAAATTTCTCAGTCGCAACCGAACTGCGAACGCCCTATAATTTATATATCTAAAATATTATATTTTAATTTGGCACAAGTAAGCTATTAATGTAAATATCATCACTCTCATTCCTTAAGTGAGAGTATTTTGCTCTTGTTTTATAGAGCAAGGATCCTCTAGAGTGAAATTTCTCTAAAATTTCCTAAAGTGCTACATTGTGTGGTTGAGACACTACTAAAAAGCAGGGCTTTTGAGTTGGCAGCTTGCCGTCGCAAATAACGGATTTGCCGACGCAAAAACTTTTTGCGACGGCGTTTCGACGGCAACTCAAGGGACGAAAATGGTGGGGTCGCAAAAAGTTTTTGAGTCGGCAATCTGCCGACGCAAAAAGTTTTAATTTTTTGAGACGGTAGATTGCCGACTCAAAAAGTGGTTAAATGTTTTAAAAAATTTAACTCCTAATTTTCTCACTGAGGCTCCCAAGGTTCGAACACACACCCATTTGGACAAGTTGACCCAAGGTCAACGCACTACACCCACTTCACCACCACACCTCTTTCAGATATTAAACGAGATATATATTATTTATAGTATATACACTCAATATTAATATAAAAGTATATGTATAAATAAATATATTTATTAAATATAATCAAGTAAATAAATATATATCTTGGTTATAAATTTTTTTTTTTGCGACGGCATCAGTTGCCGACTCAAAAGGTCTAATTTTTTGCGTCGGCACAAATTTACCGACGCAAAAGGTCTATGCCGACTCAAAAGGTCTATCTTTTGCGTCGGTAAATTCAACCGAATCAAATAATACTATCAAATATTAATTTTTTGTGTCGGCCAACGGTGCCGACACTAAAGGTTTGGTATTTGAGTCGGTAACTCTGTGCCGTCTCAAAAAAGTTACCTTTTGCGACGGTAAAATTTGCCGACTCAAAAAACCGACTCAAAAGACCCTTTCTTTAGTAGTGAGATTTACTAGCAAGTCACATCAATTTTTCTAATGTGACTTGCCAATAAGTCTCAACCACACAATGTAGCACTCTAGGAAACTTTAGGAAAATTTCACTCTAGAGATTCCTTGGTGTGTTTTATATGTCCCCCATGACACCCTATATATACCCCTCCCACACTGCCTCATCTTTCACCAACCAACCCACACATATCCAAGAGAAGAGCCATTCCTTCCTTTCTTTCTCTTCCAACACCCCAAACCACACCACCCTGAGCATACCAAGAAAAACAAACTAACAAACTTAGTAACTCCAAACTAAAATTTCCAACCAAGAAAAGACCCAATTTAAAATTTTTTTTTTCTTAAAAAAAGAAAAGAAAATGTCAGGTGTATGGGTTTTCGAAAACAATGGAGTGATTCGGCTTGTGGAGAATCCGTCAGCGGCTCAGCAGCAGGAGGGAAGGCAAGGCAACTCGTGCGGGAGAAGAGCAGCGTTGGTGTACTTGGCAAGTGGGCAAGTGGTTTCATCATACACATCGCTGGAGCGAATCCTAACCTCCTTGGGTTGGGAAAGGTACTATGGAGGTAACCCAGACCTCTTCCAATTCCACAAGCAATATGGCAATGATCTAATCTCACTTCCTAGGGACTTTTCCAGGTTCAGTTCAGTTCACATGTATGACATTGTCACCAAAAATCCCAACGTCTTTCACGTCCGAGAGATATGAATCCAAACACTCACACTTTAACAGGAGTCTCTCGCTCTCTCTCCCCCTCTCTCTCTCTCTCTCTCTCTCTCAGTTCCTGTATTGAATCGTCCTTAATTATGTCTGTGTTGTTTGCTTGGTTGTTTGTTTCCGACTCCTGTGTTTCGATCCCTCCCTCCCCAGTGTTTATGCCTTGTTCTCTAGTCTGCTTTCTTGTCTTGTAATATATATTCAACAAATAACTGTATGAGCTGCTGGTGTGAGTATCTATCAGTCAGTGTGTATTAGTGTCTGTGTATGTAAGATACATATTGTCATCCTTTGTAAACTCCTCGACATGGCTTTGCAGCTTGGAATATATATATAATGCCATGAAGTTTCCTGTTACTATTGCTATCATGAAAATATCTACAAATTTTTTATTCAAATGTTGTGGCATCTTTATAATACTCAAAAATAAGAATTATGACATCCAAGAAATTACACCTTTGCTAACTAAAATTTTAAACTTACTTTATAAATTCAGTGACATATAAGTAAGATGATTGATTGATAATTAAAAAATATATGAAAGGAAAAAAAAAATAACAAATAAAAGTGATTGGTTGATTGATCATTGGACTTGAAAAGTGTTGGAAACCATATGTTGAAAACCATGTGGTACACCATGTTATACACATGGTGTGGCCTAACCTTGAAGGCCACATGGTATATATGGTCCATTCATGCATGACCTAACCATGAGGGACATATGGTCTTGGACATGTGGTACATATGATGTGATCTAACCATGAGATACACATAGTTTGCCATATATGTCTATATAAGGGTTCATGCTCAACATTGTGTAGACACACCAAAAACAATAAGTTCTCTCTCTCTACTCATCTATCTTGAGGCTACCATCTTGAAAACTTAGGAATTTGGAGTGTGGATAGATATTAAGAAACTCTAGTAACTTCTCAATTGACGGGAAATTTGTCAGACGAGGCTCATAATTCAAGCATCCAATCCAAACTGTTTCCACATCAGGCAATATAATTACCTGTATATTTTTCCTTCATTGGTATCAACACTATATTGCTTATTTTCGCCTCATATGATTTGCATGTCATCGATTAGTTTTATTCATGTTTAATTCAATGTTATTAAATATCATGACATGTTAAGAAAAGCTTTTCAAAAACTCCATAAGTACAGATTTTTTATCTCAAAATTCTGTGTCAAAAATTTCATTTATTGTTACTAAAATTTACATATTTTGAAAGTACTCTTTGTGAGCTTTCTATCCATATAAAATGGGCTTTAATCGGAGTTATATCAAAAAAGTTATGATTTTTCAAAGATTTTTGGTCCAAATCATTGTTTTCGGAGGAAATTTTGGAAAGTTGTTTTTTTCTTGTCATATTAATTGTTGTGTATAATTTGATGACTCATTTTAGAATTGTGACTTTGTTTATTATCCCTCTTCAATCGCTACTTTGCCTAAAGCAAAGAAAAGTTGAGGGGATGTTTTATCTCTATATTACTTATAAGATCTTATGTTAATACCTCTTAAGATCTGTCAAAAAGATAGTTCTACTATCTAAGGTTGTTGGACTTAGAAGGAAGGCTATATGGACTCCTTTGACCTGCATGAGATCTTACTTGGTTATTGACCACAAGGACTTTGTATTAACATTACCTTGATTTCAATTTTTTTTAGAGTAGAATTTGGGGCATCACATATTATGCATGGTTTCATGTTGTGGATTTAAGATATGGTTTTGCCTCTTATATAAATTTAATCAAAATTTAGTTGGGCACTACATTTTAACTCATATAAGGGAAGATGATTATGAGATTAGTAAAATTTTTGATTTCTCTATGTAAGTGAAAATATTGTATGCCAATTGTGTTTTTGGGAATAAAATTAAAAATTAAAAAAATGTGTGAAATGACCTCTAAGAATGTTGTTGCTGACCTCACCAAAGGAGAAAAATTGGATGGGTCCAATTATGATATGTGGCCCAAAAAAATTCAATACTTGCTTAATGAACAAGAAATCCTAGACACTTTGACCACTCTTATGATCTGTCCTAAAGAAAGAACCACTGCCCAATATTGCCGTGACATGGAAAACTATGAGAAATGAGTCAAGAGAGATTGGTGCGCGCTATACTATTCTTAGAAACATGCACAATGATCTCATTGGGGAGTTTGAGAAAAGCCTCACTGTTCATGATATGTGGAATCAACTAAAAATTACCTATAGGACCACATCTGCAAACAGGTTGCGTACTCTAATTTTGAAATTTGAGCAATATGCTATAGATCCAAAACACTCAATGGTTGACCATCTCAAAGCTATATTAGCCATGATACGTGATTTGAAGGTTGCTGGCAATATTTTTACTGATGAGCAGCATGTTACAGCAATGATACGTTCTTTGCCCGATTCATGGGGGCAAATGAAACTTATTCTTACATACAATGAGAATATCAAGAATTTTGCTAATATTTCTCACCACTTTGAGCTTGAAGCGGTGCGCTTGGGATCGGACCGCAACACTGTCCTTGTCGCTCAAGATGGACAACGTAAGGCATTCAGGCCTAGGCATAACAAACAAGGAAGACATGGTGGTGAAGCTGGTAACCTTGGTCCTAAGCAAGGTAATGTGATAAAGCGTCATTGAGGCAAGCACTCTGAAAACAAGGATAAAACCAAAGTCAAGTACGATAACTATGGGAAACTAGGTCATTTTGCTTAGGAATGCCCTGATGCAAAGAAGGTAGACTGTTTCCTTAACTGTTTCAATACGAGTGTTTGTTCACATATATGTGTTGCTAGTTCTCTCCATGGTTGGATTGTAGACTCATGAGCAACTCTCCACATAACCAGAGAAAGAGTTAAGTTTGTGGATTACAAAAAGATAGCTGTTGGTAGGCAGTATGTTACCTTGGGTAATGGAACTCGTGAGGATGTCCTTGGAGTTGGTTTTTATCAGCTCAAGACGTGTCTGGGGCACACCTTACTCCTCCATGACGTGCTTTATGCACCTGGTGTCCAATGTAATCTTTTATTAAGTTATTGTTTTGTTAAGACTTGGTTTTAGTTTTCAATTTGATGGCAATCAGTTGGATTTTTATGTAAATAAAGTCTTGTACGGACATGATTTTCTTTCCAGTTGTTTCTTTATGCTAGATTTGGATTTTTTTTTCTCATGTTCTTATGTGTCTTGTGATGATGACTCATTAAATTCTGTTAATTGGCATGCTAGACTTTGGTCACATAGGCAAAGATAGAATGACTAGACTAGCTAAAAAAGCTTGTTGGGGCATCTTGCTAATGTAAGTCTGCTTGTGTGTGAACCTTATTTGACAGGAAAAGCATGTAAGAAGCCTTTTGGAAAGATACCTAGGGCTTTATATCCTCTAAAGTTAGTTCACTCTAACATTTGAGGACCTATGAATGTAAAGGCATGCCATGGCGCTTCTTATTTCCTTATATTTATTGATGATTACTCACGATTCAATTATGTCTATTTGATCTCACATCGCTTTGAGGCATTGGATTGCTTCAAGTACTTTGTTGTGCTGGTTAACAATCAAACAGATAGGAAATTGAAAATCCTTCGAACAGATCGAGGGCGTGAGTATTTATCACATTAGTTTTAGGGACTGTGTGAGGAAAATGGGATATGCAGGCAATTAACGATTCCAAGGACTCCGCAACAAAATAGTGTAGCAGAGAGACGAAATCGCACTTTACTTGAAATGGTTAGATCAATGATGGCGCAAGCCAACCTCCCTATATCTTTTTGGGGGACGCTCTTTTGACTGCTACCTACATCATTAACCGTGTGCCTTCAAAGGCAGTTCCAACAACTCCATATGAATTATGGAAAAATGCAAAACCAGATTTAGAACATTTGCAGCCTTGGGGTTGTGCGGGTTTTGTTCACAATACTTCTCATAAGCATAGGAAGTTAGGTCCTAAAGCAAATAATAAGTGTTTGTTAGATACTCAAAACGCTCAAAGGGTTATGTGATGTATGGTGAACACACTAATAGTGGAATGATTGAAAATGAGTCGCAAGATGTCAATTTCATAGAGAATGAATTTCCTAGTATTGGTGAAGTAAAGAAGGATCTTGCACAATTTGAGTTGCAAGATTCTGAGGAAAGCATACCATTTTTTGGCTAGGATGGAGAATTAGAGACTTATCCTGAAATCACAAAAGATAGTGTAACAATTCTGACCTGTGATTAGCTAATAAACCTTACTTAACAATGCTTAATCAGTAATTAAGATTAAATTTTGAGTTAATTGCATGTGCTATGTGTTAATTGTGTTTATATCTATCCATAGTAGGAATATATGTCTGTATTTCTGTTTTGGTATGCGAATTGAAGCCTTATCGACATCCGATCACGAAATTACCTAGGTTAATGTGTAATTTGGAATTTTTGAAATATTATGGTAGGTTTAATTAAAAATCTGATTCGGAACCAAATAATTAGAATAAAATAATCATAATTAAACATCCTAACCCAAACTTAATTCAACTCCATTAACCAAGCCTATATAAGGCTTGGAAGACTTCTAAAACACACTTTACACACACCACCTTCATCTATTTTGAGCTTATAAACGTAAGAGAGAGGGAGAGCTAGAGTGAGAACAGAATTCAAGAAGACAAGAGAGGAAAAAGCTTGAATTGAGAAGAAATTTGAAGCATTTGACTTAAGAGCTCAACCAACTAAGCATCTAGAACACAATTGAACACCTAAGGTAAGGATTCAAGCTTTTAGTTATGTAACTGAGTCAATTAATGCATGGATTCAAGAGAATTTAGAGGTTAAAGACATAAAATGAACTAAGGAAGTAGGAAAGAAGAGTGTTCCATGCATGCATGTGTTTTTCATGAAGTTTTGAAGTTGTTTCAAAAGAATTCCCACATGCATGTTCTTATCTTGGTTTTGTTAAAAGAATTCAAGATGTTTTTGAGCTAAATGACTCATTTGATCATGTTTTGGAAGGTTGAAGTTCACATCAACTCATGCGTGTTGTGTTTTCAAAGTTTCAAGTTGGATTTTGAACAATTGGCATGCTTTTGGGCCTTGATTTTGCAAAATGATTTGTAATTCTTGAAGTTCTATGATTTTCTACATGTTTTATTAAGTTTTGGTCCAAAAGTATGTGTTTTGTAGCATTGGAATTGAGTTTTGGAGCTTAGAAAGCAATCTGGAAATTTCAGAATTCATACTCTTCACTCGAGCAAAGGAAGTTGCACTCGAGCGAATAATGCAAGCTCCTAGAAGATTTGCAGAGTTTAGGAGTTGGTTCGAGCGATCGAAGTTGCGCTCGAGCGACCACCCTTTATTTTGAACCTTGG